ATCCGATATTACTGGTACGTAGAAGAAAAAGATCAAGTTTATCCGATATTTCTGGTCTGTAGAAGAAGAAGATCAAGTTTATCCGATATAACTGCTACGTAGAAGGAGAATATCAAGTTTATCCGATATTCCTGTGACGTAGAAGGAGGAGATCAAGTTTATCCGATATTACTGCTACTTAGAAGGAGAAGATCAAGTCTATCCGATATTACTGCTACGTAGAAGGAGAAGATCAAGTTTATGCGATATTACTGCTACGACTTTATAAACTTGTAATTCCTCTAGTCTTGATATTAAGCATGAGTATGAGAAAAGCAAATTTTTGGTGACATATTAGAAATTTAAAACATTTCTGTTCTTTCAACATTTCTTCAGTGAGCATTATGATTGAGATCATAGAAGATTTCAATTTTAGGTGCAATTTATTCTTACTTCAACGTTGCAAATTTTTAAACTTTTTTCTGCGGAGTCATTGGTAAGACTTTTGTTTTTAAATCATGGGAATGTAACATTTATAAGTTTGCTTTCTGTCTCTTGGATGCTAGATAAAAATAGGAGGAGTTGCAGGGTTGCAAAGTTAAACCAGTAATTTTTACATAAAAAAGGAAGTTGAGTTTGCAGGGTGTCCCACGAAACATGACAGTTGGTGAACAGTTTAGAATGTCTTCTTCCATATAATGTATTATATATTAGAGACTTTTGTAGTTTACTTTAATTAAAAAATCTTTTACTCAAATATATTTTACTTTGAAATCATTTTTACTATAATATGACTGCCATAAAATATTGTTTATTATTCTCTTTGGTATCAAACAACTCAATAAATTATGAAAGAAGACATTTAAAACTATTCAACAGCACTAGCTGCCATGTTTAGCAGAATAACTGCAGTCTGAATCTCTATTGAAAAATAAATGCATAAAAATCTGTATGTGGGCTAAGTTGTCATGTAAACATCTGCAATGCAGATTCTAAATGGTTTAAAATAAATTAAGATTTGAATGCTAACCTGGATCTAGGTTTGCTATAGAGTTTTTAACCAGCAGATATTACAATTAAATTATCATTTTGCATTTATGTTTCACTCCATCCCAAGGTTTACATTATTCAAGACATTATTCGGGGAATTTTATAAACTTTACTCAAACTATAGACGAGAAAAAGGAGACACAAAACATTATAAATATTTATAGTAAACTGCGTAGGATCGTCAAAATAATCCACCAGGGTAAAATCATGAAACTGCTTAGAATCTCCAGCTAATCCACCAGGGTTGACAGCAGAAACTGCGTAGAATATTAACTAATCCACCAGGTGTAACGATCATGAAACTGCGTAGAATATCCAACTAATCCACCAGGTGTAACGATCATGAAACTGCGTAGAATATAAAACTAATCCACCAGGTTTAACTCAGAAAACTGCGTAAAATCATGAACTAATCCACCTGAGGCCTAATTTAAAGAATTTGAGACACAGCTCAAATATGGTTGGTTCCACTTAAAATGTATTCAATGTTTTAAGATTCAAGCCGGCGCTCAATTGAAACCGGTTCTTTGTGGATTTGAAACGGGGCTCAAATTCTTTCAATTCGGACTCAGGTTTAACTCAGGAAACTGCGTATACTCCAACTAATCCACCAAAATTAACTCAATGCGCTGCGTCGAATCTTTACTAATCCATCAGGTTTAACTCAGGAAACTGCGTAGAATCATGATTTAGAGATGGAATTGAAAAAAAAATCAACCATCAGGCTGATTTGGGGATGAAATACCAAACCTAATAAAGAATTGGTGAAGAAATACCAACCCTGAGATAGAATTATAAAAAGAATACAAACCCTGAGATAGAATTATAGAAGAAATACCAACCATAAGATAGAATTATAGAAGAAATACAAACTCTGAGATAGAATTATAGAAAAATTACAAACCCTCAGATAGAATTATATAATAAATACAAACCCTGAGATAGAATTATAGAAGAAATACAAACCCTGAGGTAGAATTATTGAAGAAATATAACCCTGAGATAGAATTATAGAAGAAATATAAACTCTGAGATAGAATTATAAAAAGAATACAAACCCTGAGCTAGAATTATAGAAGAAATACAAACCCTGAGATAGAATTATAGAAGAAATACAAACCCTGAGAAAGAATTATAGAAGAAATACAAACCCTGAAATAGAATTAAAGAAGAAATACAAACCCTGAGATAAAATAATAGAATAAATACAAACCCTGAGATTGAATTATAGAAAAAATACAAACCCTGAGATAGAATTATTGAAGAAATACAAACCCCGAGATAGATTTATAGAAGAAATACAAACCCTGAAATAGAATTAAAAAAGAAATACAAACCCTGAGATAAAATAATAGAATAAATACAATCCCTGAGATAGATTTATAGAAGAAATACAAACTCTGAGATAGATTTATAGAAGAAATACAAACCCCGAGATAGAATTATAGAAGAAATACAAACCCTGAGATAGAATATAATCCGAAGATTAAAGAATTCACAATTATGTAAATATAGAACTAGAGTATCTAGAGAATTTGCGGAGACAACCAGTTCTAAACCAACGCTTATCATGTTTACTCTAGGGTAGAATCTTTAGACCTGGACGTAAACAAGTATAAACAAACATAAACAAACATGAATAAACAAAAACAAGCATTAACAAACGTACATTAAAATTTAAAAAACAAGATTCAGCAGTTTTTCTAAATCCAAAATTTTAGAATTTACTTTTGTTAGGTTTTGGTTTTACTTTGATAAAATGATATTGATTCTCTTCTATCTTTAAATATTATTACATTTCAAAAGAAACACAAATAGATTAAATTTTTGGTGATTAAACGGGCTGCAGGCTCAATTTCAAATGACCCTGTATTTAAAGAGAGGCATTTTCTTGATTCGATTCACAATATAACTTGTAAAAACTGAAGTATCTAAGAGTACAAAACGGTTCAGTTCATCCGGAAATAAAAACTTTTGTGTTTTTAATGTTGTATTTGAAAAAGTGTAAGAGGGAGATATATTTTCTCCAGCCAGAAGGGCTAAACTAAATTAAACTCATCTACCCGATATTAAACCATGTACCGTATAAATACTTTATTTAATGTAAAAATACAAACTAAGATCGATACTAATGGTTGGAAGTTAGAAGATAGAGTCACAGCTCTCCACCAAAATGCTCTTGTAACTTCCTAATGAGAAGGTTCGTCGCCAACTGCCGGTAGGTTAGATCCCAGTTGACCAGCTCAATTCGCTCTGGAAAACCCTAACGGCCAAAATCTAAGGTGAACGCCCTGGGAACCCCAGCGTCCCCTGGCCCCTTTACTTTAGCATCATGTTAAAAATAGATTTCTCAACGGACTCTGTAAAAATTTAGAATCAGAATAAACATTCTGAGTTCACAAAATCATCATTTTGCTGAGCTGCTACATTAATTTTTGGATCAAGCATTCATCTCCATCTGATGCAGACCTAGCTATGGATTAATTAAATTCCTCCTTGATATCCCATGGTGGTCATACCCTGAATAATTTCAGTTATAGTTTTAATATTTAGAGTTTGTTAATAATCTTCAGTAGGTCGTAGCTCCATGGATACATTAGAAGTTTTAAAAAATCTATTTGATTTTTATATAAAAAGGTTTGAAGGTTTATATATCTCCAGGCTTATGATCGAATAGTGTGCCAGGATTGTGTGTCTTTTGGTTCTAGTTTAGCTCCAGGCTAGTTAAACGACAGAGATTCTTCATTTTAAAACAATCCATCAGAAAACTTTAGATCACATCTGTTCTTGGTTTTATACAGATTTAAAACAATCCTTTTACATTTTTAACCCTAATCCTGCTGGGGGGGGGGGGTGTGTGTGTCAATTTGACTACTATAACCATAGAGAATAGAATATATATTAGAGGGGAATTTACTCAAAAAAAGTGTAAAACGGCCATTTTGTTGTACTGTTTCCATACTGCAGGTGTACTTCACATGTTTGTGCTATGTAACCTTTTGGGCCCTAGAACATCATTTTATAGAAAAACTAAAATTAATATTAAAGGAAAATCAAATTATAAAATAAGCTGGTTTCATAATTGACTAATGATCATTTCACATAGACTCTATGCCTTTCACTTTACAAACGATGATTTTCCGTTATAACTTTAAATCAAATGATGTTTTTTATTCACATAATTCATTTTATAAAGTTTATTTAACAGCTTTAAAAAATCGAAATTGAAATGGATAGTCTAGGGAACATACTGTATTAATGTACTCTACCGCATATAATTTGTGAACATTTACATGATTTGTACACTTTGAACTCCCTTTCAGGCTGAAAGGGACTGAAAAAATTCATACCGAGAAATTCTTTTAATTCCTCTCTATATATTCTATTCTCTATGACTATAACACATTCAAAGTAAAAGCTAGAAGAAAACCTTCTGACAGAGTTGACAAAAGAGGTAGATTTTTAAGAATTTTTTTTTCTTTTAATTTTTCAAAAATTTGGTTTGGATATATTCATAATATAGTAGGTTTAATTTCAGTTAATTTCAGACGGAAATCATGTGACTGCACTGACATTGGCTTTAGTTCTGGACTCTGGTGACGTAATACGGACTATACGGACTATTATCAGTTTTAACTATCAAAAATGCAAAATAAAAATTTAAAAATTTAAAATAGGAGCAAACCGGATATTCTCAGACTCCTGTGGAATGTAATCGTTTTCAGATTGGTAGCGTATTTGCTTAATATGATCTGTTTAAACCTACTTCTTCTATACAAAATTGTATGAATTTTCTTATAATTTTAACACAGTTTTATATCAATTTCTCGAGACAGGAACATCGGATAGATGTCTTATATGTATCGTTCAACGCCTGAGATTCTCAGGTGCCATCCTTTACCCCCTTTCATTTTTCCTTAACAGTCCCTTTAAAAATGGAAAACTATTCCGTAATAAGTATAAGGTGAAGAGAAGACGGGTCTAATACACACCTGTATTTTATTCCTACCTTTATTACTCTACAGACCTCTCTCTAGTTGTTATTGAGAAGTCTAATGTGGAGTTTAGTAAAAACAATATCAGTCATATTCATAACAACAAACTTCGTTCTCTCCGCATACTTCGCAGGTAATACATATTTAACATGTACTGTACAGTGTACACGTACACTGTACAGTACATGTACATAAAACAAAGAATCTGCGAGGCACTAGCACCATAAATAGTTAACTTCAAAAGAATCCGTTAAATGAGACTTGATAATATTAAACAAAGCGTACAATATAGGATCGATCAAAAGCTTTGTAAAACTATTTTTACTGCCCTGTACACTACAGTACGCTTTACAGTTATATTTTACATGTACGTACAGTGGACGTTCATAAAACAGAGAATCTGAAGGATCTAGCATCACATATATTCATAGAGAATAGAATATATAGAGAGGAATTAAAAGAATCTCTCGGTATGCATTTTTTCAGTCCCTTTCAGCCTGAAAGGGAGTCCAAAGTGCACAAATCATGTAAATGTTCACAAATTATATGCAGTAGAGTACATTAATACAGTATGTTCCCTAGACTATCCATTTAAATTTCGAATTTTTTAAACTGTTAAATAAACTTTATTATGAATTAGGGGAATAAAAACATCATTTGATTTATAATTATAACTGAAAATCATCGTTTGTAAAGTGGAAGGCATAGAGTCTATGTGAAATGATCATTGGTCAATTATGAAACCAGCCTATTTCATAATTTGGTTTTCTTTTAACAATAATTTTAGATTTTCTATAAAATGATATTTCAGGGCCCAACAGGTTATATGGCATAAATATGTGAAGTACACCTGCAGTATTGAAACAGTACAACAAAATGGCCGTTTTACACTTTTTTCCAGTAAATTCCTATCTATATATTCTATTCTCTATGCATATATTAAACTGCAAAAAAGCGTTTAATTAAAATATTTGATTTGAAAGCTTTGTAAAACCATGTTTACGTTACACTGTACAGTGTTTTTCTCTCATTATCATTGTGTAAACACCTGAAACAGGATCAACAAGAATTTGCTTTTTTATGATTGTTTATAGTATGTGTACAGTGACTGTACACTGTACACTGTATATTTAGTAAGAGTAGATAAAAGAATGTTCACTGTTCTTAACTACTATAACACCAAACAAAGTGTGATATTTTTGAGATATTAAATAACCATGTTATTGAATACAAATATATAAATATGTTATATGTTTTAACTAATGCTAATTTTATATTCTAATTTATTTTTACTTGGGGTTTTCTCAAGACAACCGTGGCTGGATATTTAAGAACAAATGTACAATCTAAATAATATGTTTTAATTTGTACAAGCTTATAGATGAATTTATGTACATGAAACTATTAGTAAATATATTGCTGTGAGTAATATGTACAAGTCTGAAGATGAAAGCATTGTTAATTTAAATAAGGTTAGGAGGAGGGGGGGGGGGTAGAGTTTGTGGACATAGTATGTGTCAAAATTAAACACTTTTTAAATAATTTTTATAATCAAATTATTTCTGAATTTTGGAGTGATTTAAAACTATTTAAGACGAGCTACGTAGATTTAACTACGAACTTTAACTAAGTTTTACGCTAATATCTCTTGGAATAGTTTTTAAATGTTTGATTTTCAATAACTTAACATTCTTTCATTAATCAACATTCAAAAAACCGGGAACTCTTTGATTATAGACTCTACAAAGACAAGAGTAAAAAACTTGCTTGTTGTCTGTCAGATGATTTATTCACAATAACTTAGAGTAGAGTGTCAATACATTATACATACATGATATTTAGACTCAATCACAAAGAATTGCAATTTTGCGCACAACATATATATATAATACTATACAAATATAACATTAATCCTCGCAGTAGATGGTTTCATTGGATAAAGAAGGATTCTACGTACAATTTTCGTATGCTATTGGTCGATAGAAATGGTTTCATGGTTTTATTGAATAAGGAAGGTCGATAGAAATGGCACTCTTAGCTTAAAGTTGGTTTTTACTAGGTTTTTTAGACGTCTGAGTTTTAAAGGTTACATGGCTTTACAGCGTAAAAGATTGAAGTACATAGAAAAAAGGATGCATTTCTTATTACCAAGTCAAGATAAATGTTAAGAATTCATGATTTTAGAATATGAATCTTTAAAAATCAGTTTACGAGCAACAAATATAGAAAGACAGAAGTGTATATGATTTCAAAGATTTATCTTTATTTATTGCATTATGCATAAATACATTTTATTAATATTCTTCACAAGTACTTATCACAATGTACTGTACTGCTATATTTTAGTATGTACAAGCCTGGATATAGTCGGAGATGAACGGAATGCCAGTTATACAACCCAGCTGGAAACTACAGATGAAATGTTTCTAAAATCTGGGGTAAATACAGAATAAAGAGACTTCTTCCTGTTCTTGTCCCAGTCCTGTCTCCTTTTTTTAATCTTGTCCTGTCTAATCCTTGTCCTGTCTCCTTCTTGTCCTAATCCTGTCTCCTTCTTGACCTTGTCTCCTTCTTGTTCTTGTTATGTCTCCTTTTCACGTAGATTTAACGGTTCTGTCAATATTTAAGAAAACTGTGACTTTCGATCTTAATATGACCCCTTTTACATAATTTATTAACCTTTTATCTTATATACTTTTTTTGGCATATACATTTTGAATGAAAAAGTATAAAATAAACAAATCTGTAAATCTAAAGACTGTTGAGTTATAGACGAAAGCACGTTTGATTTCAAATAAAAGAAACCGAATGCTTCTCTCTCTCGTTAGTTCAGAGTGTTTTTGTCCTTGTCTTGTCGCCTTCTTGCCCTAGTTCTATCTCCTTCTGGTCCTGGTTCGGTCTCTTTCTTGTCCTAATCCATTTCTTCTATCCTAGTCCTAGTCCTGTCTCCTTCTTGTCATAGTCCTGTCTCCTTCTTGTCAAAATCCTTCTTGTCATAGTCCTGTCTCCTTCTTGTCCTAGTCCTAATCCTTCTTGTCCTAGTCCTGTCTCCTTCTTGTCCTAGTCCTGTCTCCTTCTTGTCAAAATCCTTCTTGTCCTAGTCCTATCTCCTTCTTGTCCTAATCCTGTCTCCTTCTTGTCCTAGTCCTGTTTCCTTTCTGTCCTAATCCTTGTTGTCCTCTGCAGTATTTATGCATCTAACCGGAACTCATGTGTTTATCCGCAAACAACCCTAATCAATTACAAACAATCGCAATAAAAGAATAAGAAACTAAAAGCTTATTTTTATATTTGTTTTCATTCTTTAATCCCCAGTCTAGCCATATTATCCATCCCTGTATCCTAGTCTAACAATTTTATGTTTTTTTGCATCCTAGTTTATTCATTTTATCCATCTTTGTAACCTAGTCTAGCCATATGATCCATCTTTGTATCCTATTCTAGCCATATTGTCCATCTTATTATCCTAGTCTTACAATTTTATCTTTCTTGGCATCCTAGTTTATTCATTTTATCCATCTTTGTAACCTAGTCTAGCCATATCAGTCATCTTTATATCCTAGTTTATTCATATTATCCATCTTTGTATCCTAGTCTAGCCATATTATCCATTTTTGTATCCTAGTCTAGCCATATCATTCATCTTTGTATCCTAGTCTAACCATATTTTCTTTCTTTCTATCCTAGTCTAGCTATATTACCCATCTTTGTATCCTAGTCTAGCCATATGATCCATATTTGCATCCTAGTTTAACCATATTATCTTTCTTTCTATCCTAGTCTAGCCATATTACCCATCTTTGTATCCTAGTCTAGCCATATGATCCATCTATTATCCTAGTCTAGCGGCTAGCCATATTATCAATATTTGTATCCTAGCCTAGTCATATTATCCATCATTGTATCCTAGTCTTGTCATATTATCCATTCTTGTATCCTTGTCTAGCCATATTATCCATCTTTGTATCCTAGTCCAACCATATTAACTTTCTTTGTATCCTAGTCTAGTAATAATACCCATCTTTGTATCCTAGTCTAGCCATAATACCCATCTTTGTATCCTAGTCTAGCCATATGATCCATCTTTGTATCCTAGTCCTGCAATATTATCCATCTCTGTATCCTAGTCTAGCCATATGATCCATCTTTGTATCATATTCTAGCCATATGATCCATCTTTGTATCATAGTCTAGTCATATTATCCTTTTTCGTATTCCAGTCTAGCCATATTATCCATCTTTGTATCCTAGTCTAGCCATAATACCCATCTTTGTATCCTAGTTCCGCTATATAAGCCATCTTTGTATTCTAGTCTAGCCATACTATTATTACACCTGCAGTATGGAAACAGTACAACAAAATGGCCGTTTTACACTTTTTTCCAGTAAATTCCTCTCTATATATTCTATTCTCTATGCATATGATCCATCTTTGTATCCTATTCTTACCATATTATCCAATTTTGCATCCTAGTTTATTCATATTTATTCATCTTTATATCCTAGTCTAGCCATAATATCCATCTTTATATCATAGTCTAGCCAAAATATCCATCTTTATATCCTAGTCTAGCCATATAATCTATCCCTGTATCCTAGTCTAGTCATATTATCCATCATTGTATCCTAGTCTAGCCATATTATCCATCTTTATATCCTAGTCTAGTCATATTATCCATCACTGTATCCTAGTCTAGCCATAATATCCATCTTTGTATCCTGGTCAAGCAATATTATCCATCTTTGTATCCTAGTCTAGCCATATTATCCATCAGTGTATCCTAGTCTAGCTATATGATCCATCTATGTATCCTAGTGTAGCCATATTATCCATCTTTGTATCCTAGTCTAGCCATATTATCCATCAGTGTATCCTAGTCTAGCTATATGATCCATCTATGTATCCTAGTGTAGCCATATTATCCATCTATGTATCCTAGTCTAGCCATATTATCCATCATTGTATCCTAGTCTAGTCATATTATTCATCTTTGTTTCCTAGTCTAGCCATATTATCCATCTTTGTATCCTAGTCTAGCCATAATATTATCTTTGTATCCTAGTCTAGACATATTATCAACCTTTGTATCCTAGTCTAGACATACTATCCATCAGTGTATCCTAGTCTAGCCATAATAAACATCTTTATATCCTAGTCTAGTCATATTATCCAGCTTTATATCCTGTAAAGTTACATAACTCCCAACCTGATGGACACACTGATAGAATTTCATCAAACAGAGGACTATAAGCGTAATTTCAAGTTTCCCTCTATGGAAAGATGGCATAATGTTTATTTAACTGTGGTTTCCCTACAAAAGTGACAGATTAGTGACGCTATAAAAATCTGCTTGGGTTGTTTCTGGTTACATATGATAATTTTCTGCAAAAATGGATGATAAAAGTTAAAAGAATTTTTGAAGAATGTTTATGGATGACATGTTATTTTCTTTTTATTTAAACTTTTTGGACATATTTTAAAATATATTGTTGGAGACCAATTTTTTTTATCAATTTTCTCCTCAATAAATCTTCACACTCCATACCAGTACATAGTACATACATCTTCCATAGATTAGACAGATAGGAGGAGAAATTTTGTACACAAATACATGCATACTCCATAGATTAGATAGATAGCAGGAGAACTTAAGTACACAAGTACATACATCCCCAATTGATTAGACAGATAGGAGGAGAATTTTTGTAACATAAGTAAGATTAGAAAGATAGGAGGAGAACCATAGTACACAAGTACATACTGCTACAATAGATTAAATAGATAGGAGGACAACTAAAGTACACAAGTACATACTGCTACCATAGATTAAACAGATAGGAGTAGAACTATTGTACATACAATCACCATAGATTAGATAGATAGGAGGAGAACCATAGCACACAAGTACATACTGCTACCATAGAATAAATAGATAGGAGTAGAACTATTGTACACAAGTACATACTGCTACCATAGATTAAACGGATAGGAGGAGAACCATAGTACACAAGTACATACTCCTACCATGGATTAAACAGATAGGAGGAGAACCATAGTACACAAGTACATACTGCTACCATAGATTAAATAGATAGGAGTAGAACTATTGTACACAAGTACATAAAATCACCATAGATTAGATAGATAGGAGGAGAACTATAGTACACAAGTACACATGCAACTACCATAGATTAGATAGATAGGAGGAGAACTATAATACACAAGTACATATACAACTACCATAGATTAGATAGATAGGAGGAGAACTAAAGTACATAAGTACAAACATTTATCACAGATAAGACAAATAGGATGAAAGCTGGAGCACACAAGTACATATCAACCACCACTGATTAGACAGATAGGATGATATCTATACCTCACCAGTAGATTAAACAGATGAGACAGATGACAACTAAAATCTTTGTTTTTTGTGCCAAACATAATAAAATTTTGTAATTGTAACTTAATTGTTAATATGGATTGTTTACCTTTTTACACCTAAACACATAATATTCTTATCATGGATTGTTTACCTATTTACACCTAAACATATAATATTCCTATCATGGATTGTTTACCTATTTACACCTAAACACATAATATTCCTATCATGGATTGTTTACCTATTTACACCTAAACACATAATATTCCTATTAGGGATTGTTTACCTATTTACACCTNATATCTCCCTCTTTTCCACAATATATTTTAATATTCCATTTGTATTTTATAAAAAATTTTAATTAATTTCTTTATATTTTTTTTAGAAAACGTTTTTAACGGATTTCGAAAAATGTGAGTGCTGCGAAGAGAAATAAAATTATAAAATTATAAAATATAAACTATATACAAATGTAGTGAAAGATAATCGATGACTATAGGTTGTAATATCTGAATGATTTGTTGGAAATTAAATTGATTTTTTTACAGTCTAAGTCGTAAGTTGCAATTTTCTCAATTTGTATAGACGCTAAGAATTCGGCATGAGACGTCTTTAACAATTTTCTCCCTATAGACGCAACAGATAGAAGTAAGATTAGTAGCGGTCAAAAGCGCTTTTTTATCGCATTAAGTCTATACCCCCTTTCATTTTTCGCGAACACTCCCTTTAAGAAATAATGAAAAATCCCTTCGGACAACATATTTATTTTACCTGCCCTGTCACCATGAGTAATATCTACAATATCCATTATGCTTAATTCAGGATGAGTTATATAACCTGGAAGAGCAGAGATATAAAACTATCCCGGAGTTTAAGGAACCACTCCTAGGGTAATTATCATTAATAGAACCTTTCAGATAAAAACACAGAGTAAATTATTAATAAAGTGTCAAAAATAAATAAAGATTTTTGCTTTTTTACTTTTTCAGTAAAAGGCGTCCAGGTTTACTCTAGGTTTTCTTTAAGTTTACTCTAGGTTTACTCAAGGTTTACTATAGGTTACTCTAGGTTTACTCTAGGCTTAGTCTAAGTTTACTTCAGGTTTACTCTAGGTTTATTCTAGGTTTACTCTAGGTTTACTCTAGGTATACTCTAGGTTAATTCTAGATTTACTTAAAGTTTACTCTAGGTTTACTCTAGGTTTACTCTAGGTTTACACTAAATTTACTTCAGGTTTACTCTAAATTTACTTCAGGTTTACTCTAGGTTTACTCTAGGTTTACTGTAGGTTTACTCTAAGTTTACATGCATAGGTTTATTCTAGGTTTACTCTAGGTTTACTCTAGGTTTACTTAGAGTTTACTCTAACTTTAATCCAGGTTCATTATGCGTTACTCTAAGTTTACTTTAGGTTTACTCTAAGTTTACTTTAGGTTTACTCTAAGTTTACTTTATGTTTACTCTAGGTTTACTTCTGGTTTACTCTAAGTTTACGCTAGACCTGTTCTCTGTTTTCTCTAGGTTTACTTAGAGTTTACTCTAGATTTAATTCGGTTTTACTCAAGGTTTACTCTAGGCTTTCTTTGGGTTTACTCTAGGTTTAGTTCTGGTTTATTCAAGGTTTACTCTAGGTATGGATTATACTGGATTATAATGAAAGATGTGGGCTCTTGGTACAGTTCAGGAACTAAATATCTCCAGGCTGAGCTGAGAACATGATTATTTCTTTTCAACATTAATTGCACCAAAATACCATTTACTGAGGAAAATATATTTTTAAATAGAATTAGAGGAACGGATCGAAAAATACTAACTGGGGAAAAATCGAAAACATCCAATACAAGATCTTTACAAAATCAAGAACTATCCTAGATCTTTTCATTTCAAATTTCGGAGATATTTTGTATTTTAGAAACCTTTCAGATACTGAAGGAACATGCATAGTCATTGTTTGAGCATCTTCATTAATGTTTCATTATTTCGCGTAAATGATTTATTTTGCCAGCTTACAAAATCTAAGGACATGTAAAGTCTGCTATTTCTATATAATTAAATGAACCAGAGACGGAATTTTTGTTTTGAAAATCTAGCTAAGCCTAGGAGAATTTAGCGGCGATCTACTGGAAAAACTATAAAGACTAATTACTTTAAGCATTAAACCCACCGAGAACAGCATTGCTCCTTGGAAGAGAATTCTACGGCTATGGTTTAGCTATCTACGAGTAGATCACCGGCTAATTGCCTGGGAATCCTAAACTCAAGTGGAGATCAAACACAATAGTTTCGTTCTCTGGTTTCAGCCTTCTTTCTTCTAGTCCAACCTTTTTATCCAGATAATCTGTCTTACAACCTATTCTGCAGTTTAGTTATATTGTTATCTACTGATTATCTAGTTCTAGATACTTGATACTAGATACTAGATACTAGATACTAGATACCAGATACTAGATACTAGATATTTGATACTAGATACTAGATATTTGATACTAGATACTAGATCCTAGATACTAGATACTAGATACTAGATACTAGATACTAGATACTAGATACTAGATACTAGATATTTGATACTAGATATTTGATACTAGATACTACATATTAGACACTAGACACTAGATACTAGATACTAGATACTAGATACTAGATACTAGATACTTGATATTTGATACTAGATACTAGATACTTGATATTTGACTAGATACTTGATACTAGATACTAGATACTAGATACTAGATACTAGATACTAGATACTTGATACTAGATACTTGATACTAGATATTAGATACTAGATACTGGATACTAGATACTAGACAAGATTCTATGCAGGTACACTGTACAGTTTACAGTGTACAGTTTATAGTGTACAGTGTACTGCATGTTTACCTGTAGGTGTTTATTCTCACCTGTGCATTATTAAATACAGCATCATCATTATTTTCTTTAATGGCTATAATTCTTAACAGGTTAATAGACTTTTTTTCTTTTGGGATTCATTAATTCCTCAGCTATTAGGGATTGCTAAATCTTTAGGGATTGATAAATGTTTAGGGATTGATAAATGTTTAGGGATTGTTTAATGTTTAGGAATTGATAAATGTTTAGGGATTGTTTAATGTTTAGGGATTGTTTAATGTTTAGGGATTGTTTAATGTTTAGGGATTGTTTAATGTTTAGGGATTGTTTAATGTTTAGGGATTGTTTAATGCTTAAGGATTAGTTAATGTTTAGGGATTGTTTAATGTTTAGGGATTGTTGTTCCTGCTGGTGTTGTCATCCAACTCCATTGATATTTCTTGAAGGAATACACTAGTTAAAATTACTGAAAAAATGTGTTTTATTTTTTAATATCCCCCTCTTTTCCACAATATATTTTAATATCCCCCTCTTTTCCACAATATATTTTAATATCCCCCTCTTTTCCACAATATATTTTAATATCCCCCTCTTTTCCACAATATATTTTAATATCCCCCTCTTTTCCACAATATATTTTAATATCCCCCTCTTTTCCACAATATATTTTGATATCCCCCTCTTTTCCACAATATATTTTAATATTCCCCTCTTTTTCACATTATATTTTAATATCCCCCTCTTTTCCACAATATATTTTAATATCTCCCTCTTTTCCACAATATATTTTAATATTCCCGTCTTTTCCACAATATATTTTAATATTCCCCTCTTTTCCACAATATATTTTAATATTCCCCTCTTTTCCACAATATATTTTAATATCCCCCTCTTTTCCACAATATATTTTAATATTCCCCTCTTTTCCACATTATATTTTAATGTTTTAGATAAAAAGGAAATGAAACAAAGCAATTGGAAATAATTTTTAATATATCTTGGAGTTCTTAATAAGTTTAGTAAGTATAAGTAAGAATGATTATAAGTGAAAATCTTGACATCAAACTTTCCCCAAGGATTTATAACTAAGCAGCTTGAAAAAAACATTTTGCTTTTACCTGAGTAACTATTTAAAATAAATCCTATTAAAATCGACTTTTATAATCAACATTATTCTTTGAAATGGTTGTTAAGAGAAACTTTGTATCAACATATACAGGGTTATCCACAAAGAATAAGACTGTAAAGACGACCTGACACTTTTAGAATGTGACGATACCAAGGTTAAATTAGGCCTTCTGTCTTAAATATTGTCTTGATATGTATTTTTTACTGATTGGACAGTTCACAGTTGCAGAGAATCAAAAATATAAGAAAAAAGACTGTTTAAATTCCTTTCAGTCGTCTCTGAAGTCTCATCCTTTATGGGTAACCCTTTATGAACATTATTTAAAACGTTTTAAAATCATGATCTTCTTCCCATAAAAACGGTGTATTATGTTAAGGAGCATTAAGCATGCTTGAGATATTAATTATGACAATGATTTTATTAGCATACAAGGAAATATATTCTTTATATTCATGGGTAACGCCCCCCCCCCCCTCCCCCTGTTTTATCTAATTCAGGTTTCAATTCTCGTTTCCTGTAAAGGTCAGAGTAAAAAAACATCGAGTAAGTTGAATTTTCCTTCAAAGTATCTAATTATACATTTTAAATTTTAATATAATTCAAAGGAACTGAGTTCTTTCCACAAAGGAACTGAGTTTTTGTCACAAACTCAAATTGTCTAATCCCTATATCTTTACAATCTGATGATGTAAACCTTTGTATGTACACTGTATGTACACTGTATGTACACTGTAGAGCAAAAGGTTGCAAAGATGCAGGGATTAGACAAATTAAGTTTGTGGACAAAGATCAATAATCGTTTTGAAAAGTTTTTTTTGGTTGATATCTTTGGTTGGAGCAAAATTTTTGAAAAGTGTAAAAAAGCAAACATGTCGAGCAGACTATTTCAGAATGGAAATCTTAAATTCGTGTAAAGTCTCTCAACAGTATAAAAACCTTGACTGTTTAATAAACGAACCGGAAGATGATGCCCACCCCTGTAATCAAATTAAGTCATGTCATGAAATCATGAAAGAAGAAAAAAGAATATATGTCTGAAAGGAAGGAGTAATTTTGTATACAAGTGAATTGATTGTTTTAATATCCTTTCTGGTTTTTGTAGCTGTAGAAGGATGGGTCATCTCAAAATTCTACAGGTAGGAAAACAAAATTCTACAGGTAGGAAAACAAAATAATATTTTATGAAAGTAAGTTCATCAATTATGGTCCTTTTAAATGTTCAATTTTTTTTTTAATTTTGCGGATACGAACAAATTTTCAGAAAGAAAAACAAGAATATCACTTAGTTGTTATCATTGTAAACCGTTGTTGACAATCTAAAAATATTTTTGATTTTCTAGTGAAGAAAAGAAAAGATTTGAGGAAAGATTGTTTGAGTCTGATTTTGACTCTGATTCTGGACCTTCTTCGCCATCCGAGGGATCTGAAGAGGAGCAGGTAAACGTTCATCTCCGTCCTAGAGAGGAGCAGGTAAACCAGCTCATCTATGGTTTAATTCCAAACCTTCTTCTCCGTCCTAGAGAGGAGCAGGTAAAACTTATCTATGGTTGGATTCTGAACCTTCTTCTCCGTCCGAGGGATCTGAAGAGGATCAGGTAAACTTTCTTCTCCGTCCTAGAGAGGAGCAGGTAAACTTTATCTATGGATGGATTCTGAACCTTCTTCTCCGTCTTAGAGAGGAGCAGGTAAATCTTATCTATAGTTGGATTCTGAACCTTCTTTTCCGTCCGAGGGATCTGAAGAGGAGCAGGTAAACTTTCATCTCCGTCCTACAGAGGAGCAGGTAAACCTTATCTATGGTTGGATTCTGAACCTTCTGAAGCTATTTTCGCTTATGATTGGCCAAAATTTATAAATTAAAAAAAGATAAACTTTATCCATCGAATTACAAAAGATACGAAGAAAGAATTATAATATAGAAGTTCTGATCTCTGATCATAAGTTTACATATAACGTGGCACATCGTTTATTCTCAGTCAATCGGTTGAGAAAATTACATTTTTTGTTTATAGAATATTAGCCTTTTCAGTAGAGGAAAAGGGGAAATAATATTTTAAAATAGAACTCTTTATCAACTCTAATAAAGGGAAGACTTTTTTAGATTAATTACTTTCTTTTTTTGTAGGAGTGGTAATTTATAGAGGCATTGAAAACCCTTCTAAACTAATTCTCTGATTTGTATCCAGAAAGATTAGAAAATGAAGATCAAAGTCGTGTTTTTTTAGATTTTGCTATCCATGTTTCCGGAGCTGGAGGAGGAAGTAGTGCTTGAAGTTCTTGACAACTCAGATAGTTTAGATCAAGCAGTTAACTCTTTACTTCAACTCTCAGACCCAGTTGAGCCTGCAGAGGGTTTACAGAACCCTGTATCTACCTCGGATCCGGAGAGAATGGAAACCTCTGCTCAAGCATCTCTGGTACATACAGATGAAACCACCCGGAGCAACACAAACCCGTCTATAAATCCTGGTGGAGTTAAATAATATTCTAGTGAAGTTTTTTATTTACAGAATATGAAAAACACTTTACACATTTAATAAGAAAGTAAATATTATCAAAAATATTCTAAAAAAAAGTTCATTTTATTTACAAAATATTCGAATGACCTTTCAGAATCTGTAAAAAAAAGATCCTAACTTCACTCTAATCATTGCACCGAAAACTGAAAAAATTTCAAATTTTTTGTTCAAAATTTTATCATGTTTAAATTTGTAAACATAAAGCAAAAAAATGTTGAAAGCTAAACTGCTTCGAAAAGAAACTTATCGACTTTCAAGGTTGGAAGCAAGTTTTAGTTGTGCGTATTGTATACTTATCAGAGAGAACCAATGAAAATACATAAAAATGATATTTAAAGATAGAATAAATATTGTCTGAGTGTAAATGTACCAATAAATGTCGATAAAAACTACGAGACAAGAATTATTCTACGTTTTATTTACTTCATATCCCATTATTTTATAATAGATGATAACTGTTAAAGGGACAGGTCCTGTAAACCTTTATCTCACCAACAAAAATCTATAAAGTCGCCAAGTTGAAAATTATATTCAGAAATATCTCTTAAGAGTACGATTGTTAATCAGAAACTCTATAAATGGTAAGTCGGATGTAAAAATTGTCTCTACATTCCTGAAATTTACTCTTTTATACCTTAATAATGCTAAAATCGATTTAAAGAACTAAACACTCTATTAGATCGAATGATTGTATGCTGAAATAGATTAATTGAGGCAAAAAACAAAAACTTTTATACAGTCTTTGCTTCAAGTATTTCTATTCAAATTTTCTCAAATTTTCTAATCCCTAATATCTTCAATATTTGATCCAACAAAATTCATAGTTTGAAATATCTAAGGGCTACGACACTGACTGAATGCCTTTAATTATTTTAAACTTTTTTAATTAAAAGTATTTATGAATGTAAAAGAAAAAATGTAGAAACCAAATATTATTTCTATAAGAAAACTGAATCATTCCAATAAAATCGAAAAATTGCAAATGCGACACCGATTTAAAAATGAAATAGTAACGTTATGTTTTAATAAATACTAGCTACTAGCTACTAGCTACTAGCTACTAAATACTAGCTATATATAATATATATATATCAAGTTAAACTAACGTAAATTAGAGACATGAAAGATTGAGATTTCATGGTTTTAATCAAAACTTCTTCTATTGAAGATCTTTTAAGACGTCCGTTTTGCATTTCTCATATGTAACCGGATCTTTTCTCAGAATTGTGCGTAAAATCAAATCTATTGAAGCTACGAGGTCACAAAGTCAGACTAGTAATGTTCCATGAATTTAAACATCTCCTTCCTTTTAGGTTGCAGTGTTTCAGCGAGGGGAGGAAGGCCAGCCACAACTATTTCTCATCCGAGCCACATTCTCCTCATTTTTCGTCCGAGCCACATCGAAATCCTCGTCCTTCGATTATTCTTGTTTTAAAGTTGATAATTCTTAAAGATAAAAACTGTTTTTTTTAATACATCTGGCCACGTTAGGGCATAAAATATGGATATAATTAAGTATTGCAATGATTACATCATGTTGGAATCTTTAAAGCCATGAGAATGGTGTCAAACTTACTTTATTTGGGTAAAACTAAAATCTCTTCTGACTCCGTAATTCCAAACCTTTGCGATATAAAATAAATAGCAAAATATTTGGCATACCTCTGCCTATAGTCTTCCCCACGAAAGCACCCGGAAAAATTCTAAGGTTTTCACTATAATTAACTAAAAAGATTGAAATTTTATGAACTCGAAATAGTTTTATCTTGGAGGATTTAGGCCCTTAAAAAAATAATAATGTAAGGACGAGGATTTCGAGGTGGCTCGGACGAAAAAATTAAAAGAATGTGACTCGGACTAGAAATTCTTGTGGCTGGCCTTCCTCCCCTCTTTCAGCTATATTACTTCCGATTATTTGTCAATCTTTATAGTTTAACATATTTTAAAATGTAAAATGTATTTAAAATATATTCCTAAAAATTAATCGAACGTAATGAAATTCCCCTTCGGCAAACTACACTTGGCTTAGGATCTTTCAAGAGAAGAGACTTTCATTATTTTTTAATCTCCATATTTATTTTAGAAATTAAATTTACACATAAAAGATAGTGGAGGGGGGGGGGAACACCACCAAATAGTTTAGCTTTTTTTCTGATGTACATACAGGGTTTTTGTAATCTTGCCTTACGTTTTTTTATCTTCTCAATTTCGATTATTTTATGACACAGTTAAAACAAGAAATGAATATTCTTTTGAGAACATATTTATTTTAGAAATTAAAAGATAGTCTTTAAAAAACGTACTCAATCTCTTGTAATCATTTTTCTATATTTTCAATTGGTTTGAACTCCGGTATACAAGCAGGTTTAATAATACCCTCGTTATAATATGCTTATCAAATATTTCATTTTCGCTTGAACATTTTTATCATTAGACCCCATTTTTGATTTTTGTAGAAAAGCGCATTTTTGTAAAAGTTTCTAGAATTAAATTTTTAAAAATTCATATTCATACTTTTTGCTGGTTTATTAAATTTCGAACATTTTCCCCTTTTTCGAACATTATCAACTGTTTTTATTAGTTTAAAAAGTTGTTTATTCAAATTCTGTGAATTACTTTTAAAGGTTGTTTCTTTATTTATCATTACGATTTTACTTTCTTAAATTAATATTTCAAAATAATCCAAACTGATTGAAATTTCTTATTACTGATTAAATCTTTTTAATAAATATTAACAAAAAAGAAACTTTAAATTGAATATTCCTGAAAAAAAATTCTCCGAAAAATGTTCAAAAATTTTTAAAATAAAACGTATAAAACTGAACTTGTAAATAATTGATGCTATTTTTCTGAAGAAAATACAAAGAATGGAATTTTTATTATTATAGAAGAGTTTTATACAGAACAGTTTACAAGAAAATATTAATTTTGATATTTTCCCATTTTACAAAAAATAGGATTATTTTCTAGATTCAAACAAAGCTATTGTATTTGCTCCAATATTTATATTATTGTAAATAGTTGGAAATAATTTCTAGGAATCTGTTGAATAAATGATGATGCTTTTTAAACTTTGGTTTGAAGGATTCAATTATTCAGCAGACCATTAAATATCTGAAATTCAACAGTTTCTAGCAAAAGGATACAAAATCCGGGATCATGTATGATACAAAATCCAGAATACATGCAGATTACAAAATCCGGGATACATGTATATTACAAAATCCAGGATACATACATGTAGAATACAAAATCCGGGGTACATGTATATTACAAAATCCAGGATACATGTAGAATACAAAATCCGAGATAAATGTAGAATACAAAATACGGAATACATGCAGAATACAAATCCCTGATACACGAAACAGAACACACGATACAAACTCTGGGATATATGTCGAATACAAAATCCGCGATAAATGTAGGATACAAAATCTGCAGGATACATGTAAAACACAAAATCCCGGATACATGAGACAGAACACAGGATACCGGAAACGTGCAGAATACAAAATCCAGGATACATGTAGGATACAAAATCTGCAGGATTCATGTAAAATGAAAAATCCCGGATACACGAAACAGAACACAGGATACAGGATACATGCAGAATACAAAATCCGGGATACATGTAGAATACAAAATTCAAAAAAGTTCTTCCTCTGCGACGACACTGGACACAAGACCCAAAAATTTTGCCTTCAGGATACAAAGGAAACCTAAAGCAAAACAAAATTACATAAAACTATTTTTTTATTACACTATCAAAATAAATAGTATACTGAATCGTTTATCTAGGGGCCAGGGGCCGCAATAAGACGTCTAAGGGGACGGGCTTGAAGGAGAAGGAACTTGAGTACCAAAAGGTAAGAAAGGGACTTATGAAAACGATAAAAAAGAAGAGATTGGGCCTGGGAGATCGAAGGAGAAGGGGAAAGTGGGACAAGGGACCGAAGGAGAAGGGGAAAGTGGGACAAGGAACCGAAGGAGAAGGGGAAAGTTGGACATGGGACCGGAGGAGAAGGGGAATGTGGGACAAGGAACCGAAGGAGAAGGGGAAAGTGGGACAAAGAACCGAAGGAGAAGGGGAAAGTGGTACAAGTAACCGAAGGAGAAGGGGAAAGTGGTACAAGGGACTAAAGGAGAATGGGAAAGTGGTACAAGGGATCGAAGGAGTAGGGAACAGAGGCTTCTGAGAGTCCTGGAAAATTCTCGATTATTCATACTCATGTTCTACATTGACACTGGTGCCTTTAATCTACTGTCTTGGAATGAATTAAGTCCTGGGCTAAATGAAAAGTTTGAGCTGTGCCCTCACCAATAGTTCAATTTAGTCAACAGTAGTGGTTTTAATCTAAATTAATTAATCTTTCAACTTCTCTTTTAATCTTCAAACCAAACCTTTCTCCATCCTGTCTGAATCCAGAACCTAACCTATCTCTATCCTGTCTGAATCCGGATTCTAACCTAACTCTTTTCTGTCTGAATCTAGAACCTAACCTAACTCTATCCTGTCTGAATCTAGAACTTAACCTAACTTTATCCTGTCTGAATCTAGAACCTAACCTAAATCAATTCTCAATGCTGTCTGAATCTGGAACCTAACCTAACTCTATCCTATCTGAATCTAGAACCTAACCTGACTCTATCCTGTCTGTCAATAACCTGACCTAACTTTATCCTGTCTGAATCTAGAACCTAACCTAAATCAATCCTCAATGCTGTCTGAATCTAGAACCTAACTAACTCTATCCTGTCTGAATCTAGAACCTAACCTGACTCTATCCTGTCTGACTCTAGAACCGAACCTAACTCAATCCTCAATGCTGTCTGAATCTAGAACCTAACTGACTCTATCCTGTCTGAATCTAGAACCTAACTGACTCTATCCTGTCTGAATCTAGAACCTAACCTGACTCTATCCTGTCTGAATCTAAAACCTACCCCAACTTTATCCTGTCTGAAACTAGAACCAGCCGGAATCTATCCAGTCTGAATCTAGAACCTAACCTGACTCTATCCTGTCTGAATCTAGAACCTAACATGACTCTATCCTGTCTGAATCTAGAACCTAACCCAACTTTATCCTGTCTGAAACTGGAACCAGCCGGAATCTATCCTGTCTGAATCTGTAACCTAACCTGACTCTATCCTATCTGACTCTAGAACCTAACCTAAATCAATCCTCAATGCCGTCTGAATCTAGAACCTAACCTGACTCTATCCTGTCTGAATCTAGAACCTAACGTGACTCTATCCTGTCTGAATGTAGAACCTAACCAAACTCAATTCTCAATGCTGTCTGAATCTAAGCCTCTGAACCTGAAACCTATGTTCGGAGTAACCTACTGTCCTACTTCTATGGATTTAATATTCATTTATAAAAATC